TGTGATATTAATGATACTGTTCAATGGTTTCCATATTGTGTTGGATTACCTCTCTGGGAGTTGGCACAAATATGGATCTCTTCCAGTCAGTTGGCCAGGTAACAGTCTTATAAATTTGACATAGTTGAGTGAATGCCTGCAGTGTTGCATCAGTTCGTCGACATATTTCAATTTCTATCCCATCAATTACTAGAGTCTTGGTTTTCACCAATGCCTTCATTGCAGCTTGGACTTCTCCCATCAGTTCTTGATCATACGCTACCTCTTGAAATAGCTGAACATCAAACATTTCTTCTTAGTACAGTGACTGTGTGTCTTCCAACATCTGTTGATGCTTTCCTCATCATTCAATATTTTGCCCACATTGTTGTTGTTAGGTGCTTTCAAGTTGGTTCCGATGTACAGAGGCCCAGTTTTGTGCCATCTTCACAATTGTTGTTAAACTTGTGTCTACTGCTGCTGCCATGATGCCAATCCAAAATAATGTCAGCCTTGTTTTGGTTGAGGATAAGGAGCCTTTCCACCGTGTATTACCACAGATGAATTCATTTGTTCCATTATCCCCTTTAAATATAGTCCAATTGCACTGAATAGTTTCCCTCTTTTCCAGCAGTCTTATTTTTTTTTTCCTTTCAAGAAAGGTCACTATAGTCATGCCATGAAATAAAATTAATAAATTCTCTGTATTCTCCAGATTCAAAAATATTCCATCTTTCTCATCACTTATACTCTGCTTTATTCTTCTAACACCCTAAATAGTCCCTTTCCCTTCCTTACCATCTCCCTCCTCTCCTATCTCCACCCCTCACAAAAATAACAAAAAAGATGAATGAAATCTGTTTCCCTGCCTACACCAATGGTAAAGGGTAAGGATCATCTTGGGTCCTTGATTTCATGTCAGTACCCTGCCCAGGAAAGTAAATCCTACAGGGACAGGAGTGGACTCCTGAGGATAGAGTTCTGTATAGTGAGAATATACTATGAGAGGATGAAAGAAGACTCTCACATATCTGGAATATTCTGACTGTATGTATGATCTTCACATCAGGGCAGTTCACATAAGTAGCACTATTTGCAGAGATTGTACAAAGGCAGGCAATAGACCAGTAAAAGACAACCATGTCCTATTGTCAAAAGTTAAGGCAATAAGCAGCCAGCCAAGAAAAAGAAAACACAATAGATGTACTAGATTTGTATCCTTCCCCAAACTGACATCAAGTAGATTTCAACTTCAAGTGACCACATATAGGGTTTCCAAGACTGTAAATCTTTAGGGGAGCAGAAAGCCTTATCTTTCTCCCTCAGAGAAGCAGGTGGGCATCCTTCCCCAGATCACATTTATTTATTTGTCAATTCGGCAGATTTTATAGCATTCCAACTATGTGGCAGACAGTGTGCAAGTATGTGAAGGAAACTATTTCAGCCTTTCAGGAGTTCACTGGACTTCAAGACCAGTGGTGTGGTGGTTGTGTGCCAGCAAGTCAGTTTCAGCCCACAGCAACCCTGTATAGTGTTTCTGAGGCTGTAAATCTTTACAAAAGGAGAAAGGCTCATCTTTCTCCCACAAAGCACCTGGTGGGTTCTAACTGCTGACCTGTGGTTAGCAGCCTAAGT